TTTCAGGGGAGCTCTGTTGCAGTCTCTCTGCAAATTGTGCAGTTTTCAAGACAAGCATTTTCCTGCAGCAAAGCTTTGTGGGGAAGGTGCATGTAAGTGGGAAAGGGTAAATTACCAGAATAACTTGTTCCTGTCCTACGACTGCATCCATAGGGACAAACAGCCCACTGACGTATAGAGTTTGAGTCTAGAGAGGCAATTCACATCACCATTTATTCTGACTTACTGCAGAACAGACACTAAGATTTTCATTGCCTGCGTCTCAAGCCCTCTGCCTGTCTTCTGCCTTTCTCTAAGACAGCATAGGATCATAGAATTAGATGCTTGATCTCAAAGATGGACATTTGAACAGCCAACTGATTGATACGTGTTAGTACTACTAAGGGGAGAAGGAGGACTTTGGTTTTATGGTCTTTCTAATAAGCCAGTTTTGAAAATGTAGTACTTCAAATATGAAGACAATATTCCATCATCCTCGGTAATTTGTAACAGTAGTTATTACCCTCAGCCTTATTTGCTGAATGTTTTTGGGTTGGACTGCTGACTTCAAGCTTTCATCGGTTGAGTCTTGCAACATGTTTGTTTTTAAGAGGAGCTACCATAAACCCTAGAGAGCAGCACTGGGGAATTAGGTTTCTGTTCCCTAGACCAAGCTCGTGCTGGGAGTTTGGTACAGTCCGCGAGAGCCAGCGGGCCTCTTTGAGAAGGTGCAGTCAGAGAACAGCAATGCTTGGCACAATTACTGTTAATTTGAAATAGTCTATCATCTGAAGCACGGATTTTAAACCTGTTAACAAATAATTAAGTGCAACACAGCTTTTTGGCCTGGGAAGGATAGCTTCTTAAGCCTGAGGCCATATGAATGGCTGTATGTTCTGAACTTCAAAGAGGAGCAATAAATCTATTTATAAATCCAGACACCTCTACAGGAGATCCGTTCCTGTGTTTTCGCTTATGTAATCCCACAAAACATCAGTCATAGGTAATTCAACACAATAAACTTCAGAAATAATTCAGTGTCGGTGTTGCTCTGGGCTATTAAGCAGCCCCGTGTAACACAGATTGGCAGTGCTCACCTTCCAGCCAACAAATGAGCAGCAGCAGCAGGCAGCAACTTTGAGCTGTCGGTCCTGCCTTCACAGACCCCCCTGCCCGTGTCCGCCTCCCTGCGGAGGGCTGTGGGGTGCGGTGGGTGCGTGCTCGGTGCAGTACAGGGCTGACCTGAGAATTGAGAGAAAGCACTGGTTACGTACACCGACCCCTCCGGGGATCGGCCACACGCAACTGCCAAGCTCAACACTCGTCATGGCCTCTCTAGAAAACCCACCTTGTGCTCCACTGGTGTCTCCCAGATGCTGGTACTGCTGGACAGTCCCATGGAAGGGGAAGAAAAGAAAGCCTAACCAGGCTATTTTTAAAAGATCTGATGTGAGAATCACAAGGTAAAATTGTTGGCCTGTTCTGTGGATGAATTCAGACCATGGAGTCCCCTGGAGAACCCATAGCTCTACTCCAGATATTGCCCACTTGCTGACAGGGGATTAGGAATAGCACAGCTGAACATGTCCAACTACCTAGCCACTGGATTTAAACTGACCATCAAGGAAACATGGCACAGCGGTGTTCTCACTGCCGTCTGAAGGAGCGCTGGCTGGTGTGCCTCCCTACCCCGTGGCAAACATCAGCTCAAATCTTACTGAAAGGGCTTTGCCCAAGTTGCACTGCCTTGTCTTTGTCACGAGCAAAGAGCAACTCGTTGACGTATGTTGGCTTCTTTGTGGACCTGGGCTCTGTAATGATCGGTTGCAGTCTACCCTGAGGGGCTTCAGTCATGAATAGGCACCTGCAGCTCAGAGAAAGGCAGGGCTAGAGGGACCGTGAGTGACTGCGAGTGCCTGTGCGGAGGGAGGGTCAGGTACCCCAGGTCTTGTCTGACAGGCCGTCGTCCAGCCTTTCCTTACAGGCTGCCAGCCACGAAGACCCTCTGGTCTCCCGAGGTAGCTTCATCCAGGGCTTATATTTCATTATCGTTAGAAACTTGGTCAAAGATAAATCTGTTTCTCTTGAAATCGATCTGGTCATTTCTAGTCCTGTCATGCCTTTGGCTTATGCACAGTGATCCTCTGCAGTCCTCAAGCTTTTTCTGCAGTGCTTCTGCCCGGCCCCATTTTGTACTCATGTTTTCCAGTTCTCCTGAGCGTTGTACTTCGCTCTGGCCCTGGTTGAAGTGCATCCTGAAGATTTTGGACAGCTTCTCTCTTTTGTCGAAACTGCAGTCTAATCCAATACTCCAAGGTGGTTGAAATCTCTCCAGTTTAGCATCTTCCAGAAATCTTATAAGTATGCTCTCTATTCCTCATCCAGATCGTGAAACAGTTTAATGGCATTGAGCTCAGGATGGAGCCATGTGGAATCATTTTTGCAATGCCTGCCCCTTTGACAGTGAGCTAGTCTTTCCAAACATCGGGTTGCGCCGGCTGCATTCAGGTCACGTTTGCCTGTTGTTTTGCTGAGAGCATCACGTGGGTTGATGCAGAACATCAGCCCCTCCACCCTCTGGGCTGGGGTGGGCCAGGCAGGGCTCTCCCATGGTGGCCAGGCGTCCTGGGGCTGGCACGGCCTTCGGACTGCTCCTTTGAATACAGCTGGTCCAGGCGCCCAGCAGCATCACCGAGCAGCAACTGCTGTCTCTGCAGAAAATCCCACCTCCTCTTCTACCTCATTTTGGTGCTAACGGTAATGAGAAAGGCTGCTAGAAATGTCAGTAGCGGGAATTGAGTCATTCCCGCTTTGCAGAGGCTTCCTGCAGCAGTTCTTAATTGACAGTGCCTTCAGCCCAAAAGGGGAAAGAATTAGATACCTGTCTTTAAATCCGAGTGTCACTCCTGTGCTAATTCGCACGCACAGGGCAAGATTCAGGCACTTTGCGAATGTCTGAGTTGGGTGTGTGGGTCCCCTACATGCCTGCTGGCCGGAGAGGCTCTTCGTGAGCGTGATTCCTCCCAGCTATCTCAGCTGTGGTGGCCTCAGAAGACACAGCACCTCTTGCACAGGGTAGCAGAGCTGTGGCTTACTTAATCGTGGTCCACTTAGTTGCGGGGGGAGCCTGCATCAGAGCTGGGAGAAACGGGATCCCGGCTGGCCGAGATGGGCTGATCTGGTTCCCATGCTCCCCGCTGCCACCCACACAGTGCAGCTCCCTCCCTCGCATGGGCTGCTCTCTGGGATTGCTGTTCTCCTCCGTGTTGTGCAGTGCCAGGAAACCTAATGATAGCCCGCTGTGCTGGCTGCTGCGGGCAGACGCGGGAAAGTCTCACTGCCTTACCAAGAGGTTTTCCTGGCCCTGGCCACGGTCCCATCCCACCTCACCCACTTATGGCTTTGGAGCACATTTTCTCACATAGCCAGGGTCCTGTCAAGCTGTTGTCTGCAACGTGAAAGCTGAGGAGCTGCATTTTCAGCTTGCTGTGTCATAGGGAGCCGATCTGTTCCCGTTTGCTCTCTCCAGCCCAAAGGCCAGGCTCCTACCCCCGCCAGCTTCTCCTTGTGCCTACAGCTGCCCCGTGCAGCCCCTGTCCTGAGCCCAGCCCAGCCCTCTCCGCTGTCCAGTCCTGAGCCTGTTGGGTGAGAACCAAGAGCACATCCAAAGGATGAGAAAAGGGGTGACCTGGAGGGATGGCCTCAAAAAGGGTTCCAACTGGGGACACAGCACCCGAAGCTATGGTAGGGCTTTGTCAGCAGCACCGCAGCCAGGAGGGATGAAGTGCTTGTTGGGGTGTTTCGATCAGCGGTGCAGAGACATGCACAGCTGCTCCTGGCCTCGGTCACTTGGTGGCACATACAGAGCTTTTTCCATTTCGTTTCTGCAGGTGGGAGCTTTGATTTCCCTTGCAGGCTCTCAGCCCCCTTAGCAAGGGTTTGCTCCTGCTTTTCATTACTATACCAGACATACTTGATCTAATGGCTTCTACAGGTGGCGTGGGGTACAAGAGGGTCCAGCCGCGGTTGTCAGCTGTCATCCAGAGTTAGAGTTAATCCAGGAAAACAGTAAAAATTAGTAATGTATATTGCATTCCTCCAATCCATACGCTTTCCATTAGGTGATCTTCCATTCTCCTTAGCACAGAAAGAAAACCCTGCCGATGGCAGTCAGCGTTTCTGACACTGAAAGACAAGGATTGGTCGTGCCTGGAAATCCGATCTCAGCTCTCGCATTCCTGGACACACTGTCTATGCAGGGAATAGTCTCCCACCTTTAAATCCAGGCAGCAGATGCTGGCCATGTGCACACCAGCCTCTGCCTGCAAGCCCAGGAGCTTCTGCAGCAGCAGACGTGCCCAGCCTGGGGCCGCACCAGGGTGGTGCAGCCCGGCATGCCCTTGCACCAGGGTCCCATGTGCTGGCCTGGGACTCCCCGTGTCGAGAGGCCTCTCAAGGGTAACGGCCTTGTCCAATGTCACACCACAACGTCATGCAAGTACAACAGCCAGTCAGCATGGTAATGAGGTGCAGTTAATTCTTTTGATTTTTTTTTTATTAATAATCTGGTGAAGAAATTCCTCTAGATCCTCAGTGTCAAGAGGGTTACAGTATTCTTAAACCAATAAAAAGAAAGTGAAACATTCAGCTTTCTTAAATAAGCCCTATCTTCAATCACTCCTACGCTTTAGTGGCTCAAGAACAACAGTTCAGTAATAAATGTTGTAGAGGCAAACTCCATCGGTAATTATGTGCAGATGAAGAAGTGGAAAAGACTTACATTAATTTCTAGGTGTGACTGCACATGCTAAGTGTGGCCTGGGCCCTTTGAGGTGTCACGAGCAGGCAGGGGCTGTGCTGTGTGAGATGGAGCTCCATGTGTGGAGCTGAAAAAAGGAAGGGGTTCCACCCTCCAGCTCCGGCTCCGGGAAAAAAAAAAAGTCCAGAAAGCTCTGTGTTTCGTGCCATTAGGTCACTAGCTTGCAGGGCTAATTCTGACCTTTTTTTTCTTACTTTTGCAGAGAATGTGATCAATGGGCAGGACTACGAGGTGATGATGCAGATCGATTGCGAAGTGATGGACACCAGGATCCTCCACATCAAAAGTTCATCTGTCCCTCCGTACCTCCGAGAGCAGCGCAGAAATCACACCAACACCTTCTACAGCGCATCTCCTTCCGTCCCGGAGACACCCCATGCCCTGAGGGCTATTGTCAAGTCCCTGCAGTAGCTAGCTCCTGCAGTGTAGCTGCACGGCCCATGCACCCGGCATGCAGCAGGTCCTGCTGCCAGACTGAGCTCCTTTGCTGGTGGGTCCCCACAGCTCCTGGCACATCAGCACAGCACGGGCAGACCCCGCTTAGCCCATTCCTGTGCCTGACCCTACGGCTGCATCCTGCCCACGGATTATACAACTCAGCTGGCCCCTCACCAGGGACAGGCCTGGGGGACCCACACAGCGTGCGATGCCCGGTGCCAGGGGCACGGGTGATGCACCTGCAGTCCTGGTGTCGGCATCAGCAGCTGGTGCCTGGGGCCGGCACTGGAGGGGCACAGGCCATCCTTGCTACTTATGCCCTGTCCAAAATTGTGGTGGGTTGTTTGGTTGGTTTTTTTTTTTTTTGTCCCTGTTAAACCATCTCCTGAGGTGCGGTCCTGCCCAGAGACACTGCTGCGGAGGCCGTGCTTGAGGTCAGGCTTCCCCCCAGTACGCTCGAGGCAGTAGGAGGAAGCAGTATCCTTCTCCTAGCTGCAGGTGCAGGGAGAGCCGCAACCCTGCACCCCACGCTGGGCCTGGCCGGACAGTCCCGCTCCTTGTCACCCCCATGCACGTCCACACGCCTGCCCCAACTCCCTGCCCATGCAGCCTCCTTGCCAGGAAGCGGTGGGCTGCTGCCCAGGGTTGCAGCAGTGCCGTAGGGCAGCCCAGCCCCAGCCACCCAGCAGGGTGGTGGGAACCCGCGCGTACAGCCAAAGCACTACAAGCAGAACGACCCACACTGCCACAAAGCATGGCCCTGCTCCCGGCGGTCACCCTGCCAGGGGACTCCCTTGGTTGGACCCCCGTGAGCAGGGCGCCTGGGTGGAATGGGGCCTGGGCTGCCCTCCCAGGCAGCGCCCACACACACACGCACACCCCTCCTCCTCACCTGCGCGCACTCGCCCACACACTGCTGCTGTCTTCCCCAGCCCACGCGGCCACATGGCAAAAGGCTTGGTCCAAGGATGGTGATTTAGTGCAGCACGTGCATTTCTAAAGATTGTACTGCAGGTTTGGTTTTGTTTTTTTTTTTTCCTTTTTTTTCTTTTTTTTTTTTTTTATGTTTTTTCCTCCCTGTTTTTTTGTTTGGGTGTTTTGGGGGTTTTTGTGTGGTATTTAATGCTTTTCACAGCTAACAGTCTGTGGAGCAGCACTGGCCCTGCCGGGGCAGAAGAGCTGCTTCAGTTCAGTGGGACACAGCCACAGCACCTTCCTCCTGAAACAGAGACACACACAGAGACACGCACACACACGCACTCACACCCACACACCCCTTCTCTGCCTTGCCAGCACTGACAGCCACCCGTCACGCAGCAGGGGAGTGTGCCGTTTGCCCCCGAGCACTGAGCTACTAGACATGGCTCTTGCTGCAGTCGACTGCTGCTGTTGCAAAGCCTGCTGCAGAGCTCTGTTAACTGGTCCCAAGTTTGTCAGCCAAGCTCAGGGCCGGAGCTGGGCCGAGGGGCTCCAGCGCACAGTGCACTGTGGTGCTCAGCTGGGATGAGACGCCAGCAGAGCATCGGCCTTTCGTAATGACTTCAGCATGTTACATTATTTTTTTTTCCCCTTTGCA